TATATATATATATATCTATATATATATATATATAGATAAACACCAATTTTAAAAAATGCAAGGACCAAATCTGCCGAACTCTCTAACTTCATACAAAGCAAATGAGTTTGTGGTTTTGTTTGTTTGCATTTTTCTGCCATAGAAGAAAGCTGAATTGTGCCTTACCTTCACCTTTCCTCGCCAGTTCAGATCACCTTGAAAGAAACTGCCAGCCTTTTGGCCTTCGTCCAACACTATCTGAAAATACAGGTGAGGACATGTGGATGGAATAACTGAATGAACAAAGTAGCTGATCTTGTAGCCTTTTTAATCGTTAGTTAGCTCTGTATGAAAAACCAGATTCTCTATCAGCATAGAACGGGCAGAGAGTAAGTTTCAGAAGTCTCACAAGACCCATCGACACTGTAACCCACATTATATTATACCTAACCCCAGAGTTCTTGTGTGTAAAAAAGGACCTTCTTCACCTCCTCTCCTATCCCAAAGAACCACTGATGGACAAATCAGAGAATTTTTACATAATATTTTCTTATTAGAAAATAATTGTCATTCAATAATTATTTTCTTCTTACAAGCTGATCAGACACAATGTGTAATATAATCTAAATAATTGCTCTAAAAGTATAAATCCTCTATGGGGAAAAGTTCATCTCTTCATAGTAATCACTGAAAGTAAGATCTGGAAATAAAGGTTTACTGATTTATTGGCCTCCGCTGCATATCAACACATTTCCAACACAGAGATTTTTGTTTCCTTGCATAAATTCACAATCACTCCACAATTCTGTCACAATATCACTGGGGAACAAGATAAGGCAGAAGTAGAAACTCAAATAGCTTGAAAGATAAAAGAAGAGTACCCACTATCATTCCTTAGTAATTAAAAAACATGGCCCAAGAAAATGTGAATGATCTACAAAGTCTTGAAGACTAGGAAGAAAGCATCCAACAAATCCTGGAAATCCAAGGTAATAGGAACTATTTATGTTTGGGGTTTTTGTTTGTTTTATTTGGGTTTGGGGTTTTTGTTTTTGTTTGTTTTTGGTACCAGGGATCGAACTCAGGACTTTGCACTTTCAAGGCAGGTGGCAGAAGGACTGAGCTAAATCCCTGGCCCTTCCTATCTATAAGTTTGAAGAAAACTGTCTTAGTTACTCTTTTCATTGTTGAGACAAAAATACCTGACACCCAAAGTTAAAGGAAGAAAGGTTTATTTATCTCACAGTTTGTAAATGTTTCAGTCCATAATCGCCTGGCTCCAAGGCAGGTTGGCATAGAAGAGGGGCATCAAAGAGGAGAAACAGTTCATGGTGGGCAGAAAATAGAAAAGTAACAAGGGAAGACTACAGCTCTTTGTACCCCTTGTATCTAATCCAGGCTACTTAGGGAGGGTAGCACTCACACCCTTAATCCTAGTGCCCTTGATCTTAGCACTGTACCATGAATCAATTCCAGTGTCACTCACTCTAGATCCAGCTACCTCTGAAAAAGCCGAATCAATGGCTACCTGAGGCTTTGTGAGAACATCTAAACACAAGCCCTAGCACAGATGAATGTAGAGTAGATAAAGTGAAGTCCTATTTTATACAAAGAAGTATAAAAAGGAAATCTTTCATCCCAAACAGAAGATACATGTAATTATACAAAGAATTTACAGGTAACAGATCCTTAAGAGATTTTTAAAGAAACTTGAAAATAACCATGTTACTATCATAAATGATGGCTGCTGAAATACTGAAATGTAATGATGATTTTCAACCAAGTGCCCCATGACAGTCCTTCTAGAATTAAGAATTAGAAATCCAGTCACTGCCCAATGTTTCTTATGATCTCTCTTTTTTTTTAATTCATGAAGAAAGATTCTTTCCTTGGACTATTTCGATAAATATGCTAGAATATTACCTGTTCTTCTTCTACACGCTCTGATGAAGTACAAAGAAAAGTAGACTTATTTCTAAGATGATGGTCATGCGGTTCACTTTTACGAGTAAATTCTACTGAGGTAAACGTGTTTCCTGAAGCATCTGGCCCAAATGCTCCCCTTTTGGTCATGTTATCCTCTGAAATAATAAATTATATAGTGTTAGAAAATATCCATTATACCAAGCTTGGTTTATTTTGTGTTTATGGAGAAACTTTTTTCCAAGAAAAAGATTGCTTTTCAAAGAACCGTACAAACTGAATTCTTCAAGCATTAAACACTCTTAAATATAGTTATTTTCAAAATGCACAACATAACAATATTTCACTTAATACTCCACAAATATTGAGTACTTACTATGAATTCAGCATTGTACTTGGCCATAATTAAAAGATCAGTATTTGCTAGACTTTAGACATTACTTATCCTATTTTTTTTCTAAACTTGAGAGGTTTTTTCCTTATAGGCAAGTAATGTATGCATGATTTTTAAAAAGTTATAAGAGAAAAAAGTAAAATATAAAAACCACTCATAGTCCTATAAGCCACAACAAATAGCCACAACAAAATGTTTTCAGTCACTATCTTTCTAATTTCGACTTACACATCCATGTACTCCTAAAAATCAAAATAAAATTATGCCATATATATTATGATTCAATTTGCCAGCAATATTTCCTTTCATGTTATTGAATATTTTTCTGGGTAAATTTAACAGCAGAAGAGAATTGCATTGCGTCAATGTAAAATTATTTATTTAACCAATCACTTATTCTAAACACTGCAATTATAATACCTGTAAATTAAATCTATGCATGTTCATGATTATCTTAGGATAAAAAAGAGTCTGAAATTAATCCAAAATTAAGACACTGAGAAAATTATAATATTATGGTGCCAATAACAGAAACATGAGAGAGAGAATGGTGAAAGATACTGAATCTAGTTTTGTCCATGTTGCATTTCAGCTGCTCTTGAAAATTGTGGTACAAAGAATCCAAATACAGTTTCAAGTGTTGGAAAAAATATAGCTACAGGGAATTACACACCCATCAATTACATTGAGGTAATGGTAAGCCACAAAGGTATTTTTAATACTGTAGAAAAAAAGCCCCTGTACATCAAGAGAAACCACCAATAGTGTAAAGAGATAACCCACAATGTGGGGAAAAAAAATTTACCAGTTGTTGCTAAGACAAAGGTCTACTATCTTTTCTTTCTTTCTTTCTTTCTTTCTTTCTTTCTTTCTTTCTTTCTTTCTTTCTTTCAACCAGGGATAGAACTCGGGACCTTGTGCTTGCGAGGCAGGCAGCAGAACCACTGAGCTAAATCCCCAATCCTAAGGTCTATTATCTAGAATATATAAAGAACTTTTAAAAAATCAGACCTCCTAGATTTAAGGACCCAGTCCAAAAATTGGGCATCTGAAATGGACATTTCTCACACAAAGAAGTAAAAGCAGCAAATAAACATATGAAAAAATGTTCAACATCATGGTCATTCGAGAGATGCAGATGAAAACAACACTGAGATTCCACCTTATCCCAGAAAGAATGGCTGCTATCATGAAATCAACCAATAGCAAATGCTGACCAGGCTGTGGGGAAAAAGGAACCCTTCTTCATTGTTGGTGGAGGTGTAGACTGGTACAACCACTGTGGAAATCAGTATGGCAATTCCTCAAAGAACTAGGACTAGAGGTTCCATTTGACCCAGCTATTCCCCTGCTGGGTATCTTCCCAAAAGAATTAAAAGAATCCTACCACAGCAATATATGCTCACCCATGTTTATAGCAGCACAGTATGTAATTGCTAAAGCTTAGAAACAGGTCAGTTGCACATCAACTGGAGACTGGATAAAGAAAATGTATTTCTTTCTAAAATGGAGTACTACTCAGCCGTAAAGAATGAGAAATTAGAGGCATTTATAGCTAAATGGATGCACAGTGAGGCCATACTCTTAAGTGAAATATATAGGACACACTTGTGTAAATACTGAATAGTTTCTCTGGTGTGAGAAACTGAAAGTGTAAATGAAGATCAAAATGTATAACAGATAATGTGAAATAGAAAGAAAAGGTACAAAGGGGGAATGGGAAGGGTAAGGGAAAGGGAAAGAAAAGAAGGGAATGGAATTAACATGAGAAAATGAAAAAATGAAACAAAAAGTCTTTGTAAATAGAGAGGAGTGGAGGGCTTGAACAGAGGGCAGGGGAATGGGAAAAAATAAGAGTCAAGATATACTATGTAAAGGTTCACACCTTCAATTGTATACCTAAAATGTACCAATAAAATTAATTTTTTAAAAAAACTAATGTAAGGAGTTAACATTTATTGGGTGTCAAGTACTCACTTATGCCCAACTCACAAATCATCTTATTTAAGCCATGCAACACCCCCGGAAGGAAGGAGTCGTACTATCCCCCACTTTACAAATAAGAAAACCAAGGCCAACAGAGAGATTAAGTAATGTTTTCAAGACTATATAGCTAGCTACTAAGTAACAGAATGGGAACCTGAACCCATTTTTTGAAGTCTAGAATCTATCCTCCCAACCACTGTGCTTTGCTACCGAGAATGATTTAGCAAACGACAGGAGAAGGTCCTTACAGAACACAAGAAGACAAGTAGAAAAAGGGGATGGGGATCCTAGATAGGGAGCAAAGAAGAAAAGCATACAAATATCAAAGAACAACCAGGGCTACAGGGTATATCCCAAAACTGAAACTTGCTTATTGTTAAAATGGAAAATAAAGAATTCTATGATTAGAGAGTGATAAAGGGATACAAAAGTGATCAAAGAATTGAAATCAAGCCATTTCTGGGTGGGGGAATCTTGTTCTATTCCCTTACTAGACTCTACCATGCAAATGTTCCAGAGATGAAGAGTTATTTTATCTGTGAAGTCCTTAGACAAGCTTCTAACTGAAGGAGTTATGAGATAACCTAAACCAGAAAAGTTGCTCTAGTTGTTTTTCTTCAGCCACTAGATACACAGCATCAAAACCAGTGAGACTGTTGTGATAATCACAGCCTGATGCAAGTCCAGCTGAAATCCTTTATTTCTAAACAACTTATCGTTGATAGAATTAAGACTTGTGGGATGTCATATTAACACAGAAACACTGGTGAGGAACAGAGATAAGGTAGCCTAATCTTAAGTACATTGTTAATAAGCCAGAGAGGGGAAACACAAATATTGAATGCATCGCTTTCTCTTTTAAAAAGCCATATCCATAAATAACACACACTCAGACCAGTTCTATACTACTGCCTCGGCACCAGTACCCACAACTCCTCACAATTCCTGGGAGAGGTGAACCCTGCCTTTTGCCCCCAACAAATCCCTAGAAACTCGAGTGTGAAGAACCAGTCTTGGATGCTGGAATAGCAGCTGGAGGCTGAGTAAGCAGTTGAGAGGGTTGCCAAGAAAAGTGCTGGGGTAACCAGTGCAATGAAGGATCACAGAAGTGAGAAGGAAATGATCTTGGAACTTAGTCTCCTAGACATCCTCCTCTTTTATAGCCCCAGAGATGTCCTGAAATAATCACCCGTGGTAATAAAAGATAAAGCAAGAAAGACATGGCTATGCCTGGAAACGGGGAATTAAAAGAAGAATGAAAGAGCTTCTCAAACTTCAGGGAAGTTAGAAAGGAAGATGGCTTCTTGTGACTACCACAGTTTTCCCAGTTTATTCTTTAAATCAAGCACAACCTAAATCTGGGATTTATGAAGGAAAGATTATGGGTCCAGCACAACACTATGTAATAGTGACTTAAACAAATGAAAAGCCCAGCGACGTCTGAAAATGACAGATGTTCTGGAAGGGCAAGTCCTATTTGTTCTCACTCAATATGCTCCTCTACCATTTCAAGAGGACCCTCGGGTTATCTGCCAGTTAAGCACATCAAATATCTTTGAAACAAAGAGCAAAACATAGGGAATGAAGTCCCACCTATATTGAGCTACTGATGAAGTCTCAGATCTAACAAAAATTCTCCCCACTCTTTGAAAACTGCTTCCTTTTGCAAATACAAAATTTTTATTCTTAAAATACCACAAGGTATATAAAAGAATTTATTCTCCTTCTTATTAAAACTTCAGTTTAAAGGTCCTTCCTAAACCTTGAAATTACTTCCACAAGAACCTATTTTATATTGCTCCAAAGACCTAAAAGCACTTTTTATAAAGGCTTTTATAAGGTTTTTAAACCTACTGAATAATAAATCTCTTGGCAGAAAGAGATAGGGAAAAAGTTCTTTTTCAATATGATAATGTCAAAATGGCAGATGCTGGCACAGCCCAGACTCCGAAGTGGCCGACTGTGTGATTAGAGACCAGATGTTGCTTCCCAGAGCGATCCTAGTGGCGATCCACATGTGCCACCCAACTGTTCATCTCATTTTCTGCTGTTTCTGTTTTTTATCACAGTCCTTTTCTATCGTTTCATCTTATCCCTAATGTTTCTTGCTTTGAAATCCATGTCAGGCATAATACAGTTTAGAAATCTAATAGCAACGTTTCAGAGAACAAGTAGGTTATTGAGACCTGAAAGAGTATTTCTTTGGGCATTTCTGAGTCAAAACTTCAATACAGATGAGACAAAAGTTTTTTTCTAAAGGTTTTCAGAGGTTTCATTATTCTGAAGCAATGGAATTTCAATTTCCTTTTGATACCAAACAGACAAGTTTCCAACAGATTTGCCTTCCAAGGCCACCACTACACCTTCAGTGTTTAATTTCAGACCAAAGAGAAAGGTCACACTCCTTGAAAAGGTGAAAACTTTTGATGCCTTCCTAAATTAGATACTAACCACTTATTGATTATGTATCTTCCAGATGAAAATGATTACTTTTGGAAAACTCAATTTTGAAAGAAACTGTTTTTTAAACTTCAAATTCACCCATGCAGAGCCAGACTGGCACCCATGTACCCAGAAGCTTTACCATATTTGCAGCAGGTTTCACAGCTCAGCACAACCAACATCGGAATTCATGATCAGCCCTGCCAGCAACCTCGAAGTGTCTGTTCTTCTGCACCATGGTCAAGAGCAATATAAATCAAGAGTATGCTCTCAGTCACAATAAGATACTGAACATATTGCTAGAAGGAAAGAAAAAAATCATAGGGGGAATATTCT